TGCCTTCAGTGAACCTGAGAGGTCAACCAGGGAGGTAGAGGACAGGGTCAAAGGGCTGTTTTCCCAATCCAGCAAATATTATATCCACACTGGGCTCTGCCTGAGCACAGACAGGACTCAGGGAGGCTGCTTCACTGGGAAGTACCAGGATGAGCCCAAAACCAGCCTGCACATTCATAGTTAGATCTCCTGATGGTGTTGTCAGTTGGGTGAGAGACAGATGTACATATCGAATGGAAAGGTCCCTATCCATACTGTGTCTTTTTGCTAGTTTAGACATATCTTTACTCTTTCAATGCACATATTCATTATATACATTTACATGCATGTGTAAATATGCAACACATAAATCTAATAATTCCCCAAAGCATCAGTCATTCTTTCTGCTCCCATATTTCTCACCCCTCCAGCTTATAATAAGCAAAATTATGTTAAGTGCTCGTCTTACCCTGGTCAGTGCCCACCAACCAAGCTCCACACTGCCAGAGCATGCAAGCATCCCAGGCACACTGGCTGCACTCCCAGCCTGGGCTGAAGGCTGTCATCCCAACCAACCACCACTGGTGCTTGGAGAAACATTCTTCCCATTCTCACCAACTCATGGCATCTGATTAATTATGATCCCTGTAATTGTCTCTTTATACAACGAGGAATGTTAATCCTGGGGTTTGTTTCCGCTCCCAGTTTTATTAAGACCATAATAAGGAATATTTTTTCTTGTCCCCTGTCAACTTAGGCTGCAAATTTGGGGAAAGGGATGATCTCTCTCTTGATAACTGTGGGGGCTGGTAGTCATCGAGACGGCACATGTAACACTGGATAAGCTCAGTGAAGTAAATGCCTGGAACAGTCCTTTTTCTTTATCCATATTTGTTCATTTTCACCTGAATTGTAATAGGATCAGTGTGTGAGTTTTAGAATTTGTCTGACATCACCAGTCTTCTCTGTGCACCTGCCTACTGGCCGATCAGATTACATCTTTTTTCCACTCTGTTGCTTAGTGCATGATAATAGATGATCCATCATCCCATTACATTAACACATGAAAAGCTGCTCTGGGTCAGATCAAAGGTTCAGTCATCCTAATTCCAAAACTGAATGACCCCAAACTCTTGAGAAAGAACAGAAGGAGAAGGATGAGTATGTAGCATTGCAGCAACACATGTGTTCTTTGGTAGACATTCAATTTTCTAGAAACTGCCATGGACAGAGTTTGTACAACAGCAGTTGTAAAGGGTCACTTTTTTTAACAGCCCTCAATGGCTCCAGCCCATCAAGGGTTTTGGGAGACCTGCAGCATCACATCCCACAGTGCTGCTGGTCATATATCCTGCAAAGGAGCCCACTTTCCCATTTGCACATGTTGTTCAGTCCAGACTATGATCTGTGCAACATCCCACTCCCATTATAATGAATAATTCTGTTCTCCCCAAAAAAGACCACTCAGGTCTGGTTCAGTCAATAGCATGCCATCCTTGGAAAGCTGCCTCAAGAACTCATTCAGAAACGGATTTTGTCAGACAAGTTAGACTGTCCCACAGCAGAAATGGCTCCACCTTCTCATCAGGGCTCATTCTGCAGAGCTGATGTATGTCCCATGCAGTGGGACATACTATTCTGGACTATGCCATGAAAAATGATTTCTGGCTTATTTATATAGAAAATCCTAACTAAGCAGTGCTGATGTGCCCACTTGGTTGTAGATGTGTCTGAAACAGTAATCTCTGGGAAAAAAAGAAGAGAGAATCGTAAAGCAGGAAGCAGGAGCTCCATTGCTCAGGAGCCCTGGCCCCAAATTGGCAGGGACCTGTGTGGGGACTCAGCAGGGAGAAGCAACCCTCTCGAGAGCAATAAGCTATTTAAACAGCACATTCTGTACTCTGGGTTAGCAGGAATTTGCATAACTGTGCAAAGCCCTCGAGCCTGGGATCTTCTAAATAAATGCCACATTTATCACTATGTAAAGCAGAAGAACACCCCACCTACCCTTCCCCAACCCCATAAGCCAGTGTCATTAGTGAAGTCAGATCATCATTTGTTTCTTTAAGGGTTAAAAAAATAATCCACAACCGCTGCCAGGAAAAGGCAGAACTAAACAGGCAGCAAAGAGTTAGAGCCAGAACAGAGAGATAAATTTAAATCAATCATCAAAATGGACCACAACAAGAGCATATACATACAGAGCAAGAAAGAAAGCGAGAGGGTGTTTTGTTTGGGTAGCTAATGTTCCCTGGACAAGAAGAGAGAGAAATTCTCCTTTGGGTTTTTAATGCCACTCTAAATATTTATAGCAAGATCATGGCCAGCTGGTGAGGCAGCGGCGGGGAGTAGGGAGGGGAGGGCACGTTTTCCCCAGCGCCCCAACATCATTCTTCAAGTTGTTTCTTTACTTAAGGGGAGGGAAAAGGCTGCACATTGCCATGTTTACCCTCGAAGTGACTCATCTGCAGGAGTCAAGTCCAGTGGCTCCTGGTCATCCCCTCTCCCATCTTGCCTGGCCATTCATGCACACACGCACACACACACACACACACACATAGATTGTGTGGGAAGCCTCCACCCTGTCTGTGGCATGGCTCTGGGTCTTCAGGGTTTTACCTGGCTTTCAGGCTTTTCACCATATTTTATGCTGCACTGAAAAGCCTTTGGGAAAGGCCATCCACAGCACAGCCCGTGATGCAAAACTTCTGCTTTTAGAGGAACAGGCTGCCCCCATCCCCATGATCTGCTGGTCCATGGCAGGAGCATATGGAGACTGCAAACACCAGCACAGCATGGGGGTTGACTTAAGGGCACTGTGGCTCCCAATGATTTTTGCTCATCTGCCTCACTGTGACCAGATGCAGACATGACTCACCCGCGAGCTTTGGCTTTGAAAATATGAGAAGGAGTTTTGCTTTAACCTTGTGTTTCCCTGTGGTAGAAATGCCTAGAAATTACATTTTGGATTGAATCCCACCCCAGAACAAAGGGAGAAATTTCATCAGAGAGGAGGGACCCAATCTAGTTATCCAGGCATGGGTAGCCAATGCTTTTTGTCTTGAACCACCCAGGAACTTGGCACAGAGCTGGGACACATCACACTGGGGACCAGCCGGGGTTCTGGAGGATTCTCCACTGCCACAAGGTGTTTGACTGATCCCAGCCCTGAGGATGGATTTAGGCTCATCATCATAGATGATGGGAGTGTTAAATATGGACACCTTCATGTGATTGAGGCAGCAGAGCACTTGTGGACACCCAGCAGTGCCTGGAGGACTGTCCACCTGCCCAAATACAGGTGGTACATACTGGTGACCTGAATAACTTGTCAGACTCAGTTGTATTGACTGGAACCCACTGGCTGCAAAAGGAGGTCAGATGCCTAGTTCATCTGCAGTCAGAGACCCAATCAAGGTGTCTTCCCTGGGCAGCTCAGTGCCACCTTGGGACTTGCCACTTTGAGACCCACTCACTGCAGCAACCTGCTCCAGTCCTCCCACCCATAACATCGAGCTTCCTCAAGCCACCTGCTTGAGCCATCCTTTGCTAAGGATTTCAGAGAGCTGAGGTCCTTACCCAAAAGGCCACACCCTGGTATTTTCTATATGAATTATCAAGTACCATCAGAAAGATAAACTGCTCCAAGAGTGAACTTCATTTTTTGCTTGGCAATGGTAGTTGGGCTCTCCGTGTACACCTTGGAGCAGTGCTGGACGCAGGGGTCCCAGTGCATCAGCATCTCCCACCACACTGCAACGGGCTGATGCTCCCCAGATCTCTCCATAAGGTGGAGACACGGTCCGTCCCACCAGAGTCCCAGGGAGCCCTTCTCTCTCCCCCCTTCTCCATGAAACTGCGGTATTACCTAGCGCGAGGCATTGCAGACTGTTTACAGCCTTCTAGAGTTCCCAGGCACTTTAGGACAGGGTCCTGCCGCTGTTTCCAAATGGACAGCCAGGACTTTTATAAGTGAACTTTCCTCTCCGTGTCTATTTATTATACGTAAACATTTGCCAAGAAAACACCACTCGGGCATGCTCAGAACCAGCCAGGTCATTGCAAAAGGCAGCGGCGGCGTCACATGTGATAACAGCGAGCAGCCCGTGTGCTCCTATTCTTAGCGCTGGAATGTGCACAGTGCCCCGCCGCTCCTGCGCACAGCGCCCGGGAGCGGCAAAACTGACTTCAGAATAAACACGTCCAGAAATCACCCTCTATGAATCACCCTACCTACTGAAAGAAACGTCCCGTGGGTTTATAGGGTTTTTATCCAGGCTCTAGCTATGGAAAATCTCAGCAGAGAATAAGCGGCAGAGAGTAAGTGCATGCAGTGAAGGACGGCAGAAGGTAAACGTTTCTACCTTACGGTTCCACTGCAGGTTGAGCAGTTAGTCATGACAGTAGATACTCATCATATTGTTCTGCCTGGCACTTAATTTAGTCGTTGTGTGTCTGATTAACATTAAAAAAAACCACAGCTAAGTAAAGTTAATAAATAACGGTTTTAATGCAGATTCCCAGTCTCTAGGGTTCCGTTTGCCCTGCTGCAGAGTTCAGCTCTGCCAGATTTGCATTCTTTGGGAGTGACTAACTCTAGGGGAAAGAGGCGCAAGCTACTAAACTGCTAATACTTTAAAATAGTGAATAAATGTCTAAGTGCATTTATTCAATGTGATTAAAATGAACAAACCAATTGCTTCAGCCATCCAGCTTTAATCCCAAATCAGTGAGATAACTTCAGTGCTTTTGCTTCTTGCCAGGGACGCAGGCAGTGCTGACCTCAGAGCTGCAACCTATCTGATAACTTTATGAAAATTTTAAAGGGTCTTAGCGACCTTCTGACTTCTCTATTATTTTCCCACTGTGCTTAACCCGTGTTCCATTTTTATGCGTAACAGTGAATGGATATTTAGAGCAACATCAAAGTCCCGATTTGTTCCCTTGGAGCTGGATATTTCAATAAAAGCTGCTAAAAATTTGGGGTTTTTTTCTGCCAAGTCCAGAATTCGTCTCTCTCCTATTTTGCTATGGAGGAGGGATCCACTGAAGAGTTTCTCTTCAAAGACCAGGACTTCTCTTCCGAACTGCTGAGGCAGCTGAATGCTCTGCGACAGAGCGGGATGCTGACTGATGTTACCCTCTGTTCCGGGGGCTTTGAAATCCCCTGCCACCGAAATGTGCTGGCCTCCAGCAGTCCATACTTCAAGGCAATGTTCTGTAATGACTTCAGAGAGAGTCGCCAGGCTAAAGTCATCCTGAAGGGCATCGATGCCAACATTTTGGATCAGATTATCCTTTATGTTTACACAGGGGAGATTCTTATATCCAATGAGAATGTCCTGTGCCTGTTGGAGACTGCCTCCATGCTGCAGTACACCAAGCTGTTTGAGGCCTGCTCTGCCTACCTTCAAGACAAGCTGACTCCTGAGAATTGTCTGAGCATGATTAGACTGGCAAAAATCTTGAACTGCCAAAGCCTGAATAAGAAAGCCAGGGCTATGGCTTTGAAATATTTTCCTGTGGTGGCCTCTTCTGAGGACTTGAAGGACCTTTGTCCCTTGGAGCTCATCGATTACCTTGGGGATGATGAACTCTGTGGGGAGGAGGAACAGGTCTTTGAGGCACTGATGGTCTGGGTCCGGCACGACCTCCAGGCACGACAAGGCTACATCCAAGAGTTGTTCAAGAAAGTCCGGCTTCAGTACGTCCATCCAACTTTCCTCTTCCACTTCATTGCCAATGACTCACTCGTTCAGTCCTCACCCACTTGCAGGAGCATCCTGGAGTCAGCCTGGAGACATATGTTTTCCCTGTACAGCACCAACACACCTGACATCAAACCCATGATGCATGTTCCTCGCCGGTACTCCAACCAAGAGTTCCTCATCATCATTGGTGGCAGGAAGGACAGTCAGCAGACAAGGGATGTCCTGCTCTATGATGACAAGACGAACCAGTGGCTGAGCCTGGCCAAACTTCCCATGCGCCTGTACAAAGCCTCTGCAGTGAGTTTACACAGCAACATTTACGTGCTCGGAGGGATGCCTGTTAGCAACAAGAAAAACCTGGTCAGTGGTAATATTTACATTTACTCCCTCAAACTCAATCAGTGGAGGTTGATTGAGCACATGTTAGTTCCACGTTACTCCCACAGAAGTCTGGCATATAAAAATTATATTTTATCATTTGGTGGAATTGGCGAAAACCAGGAAATCCTGAATTCTGTGGAAAGATATGATAGCGTCTACAACACCTGTGAGAGCATGGCAAACATGCCTGTTGCTGTTCTTCACCCTGCTGTTGCTGCCAAAGATCAGAGGGTCTACCTCTTTGGGGGAGAAGACATTATGCAAAACCCTGTTCGGCTGATCCAGGTAATGATCAGTCCTGCTTGTCTCAGGAAACTTCTTCTAAGGTATTCAGCAGTCTATCACCCTCATGAGAAAATCAAACCACCTAGAAAAGTTTATTGTGAGTTGCAGCAAGGAGCGGGTTGAGTTGGCACATGGCTTCAAGGACCATTGCAGCCCTTTCATTTTCCCCTTCTGAACGTTTTTCAGGCACAAGCCCTGAGATATTTCTTTGGCTGTCAGTCAACTGTGCCTCTGGTGAGCACTAGGGCCAGGGCTGCTGCAGGTGATGCTATGGCAGGCAGCAGCAGCCCCCGTTGCCCAGCTTCATGCCTGTAGCCAATATCGCCGAAGCCAGTGCTTTCCCCTTGGCAGCCGAGCTGGGGTCTCAGCTGTGCCGCTGCTCGCTCGCAGCAAACGCCAACACTCACCATGATTAGAGCGATTAGATACCCACTCGTCAAAGGGCCAGGACTTAAACTGACAGTCATTTCGTATAAACACTTGTGTTAAAAATGCAGGTCCTGCCACATGTTGCTGGCTCTCTGCCTGCTTTCAGCGGTTACACTCTATTAAGAAGAAAAAATACATACATTTTTTCTTATCTGATTTGATGCTTTAGTAACATTGTAATGTTTTTTTCCCTGTGAGCGTTTTTTACTGGTTGAGGTGCTTTAACTAAGAAGAATCATTGCAAGCTAAGATGGCAACCAGGACATGAGCAATACTTTGCGATTATAATGGTGCTTGATTATCAGGGGGAAGGAAATGTATTTATCTGTTAATGGGGAGTTGCCCTGGAGATATTTACTATATTGAGAACTGGATGATATGACATAAATGTTTGTGTCACCCAGATATGGATGACTGAATGATCATCATCTGGCAACAGCTCTTTTTCTCACATAAATTGATGACTTAGATACCCCTCTAAGTCTTTTTGCCAGTCACCAGCACAAATACAGCAGCTGGGCAAATATGGTGGCTGCCAGCAAAGCTAGGTGAAGTTTGTTTGCCCAGGAAATTGCTAAAACCAAGACAGGAATACACAGAATAACTGCTAAATGTAATGAATGGGCTTGCACTTCGGCAGAGCAAGTCACAGTGATTTAATAGCAGTGCAAAGATTTACAGCCAAGAAGCTTGTATATGGCAGACAGACTTTGCCTTAGTGCATGTGCTAGAATTCTTTCCAAGGAGACATATTAGGAAAAAAGAAGTGGGTATATTCTCAGATTTCCAGGACGTTGAGCCAGAGGATTGTATTTATTAGGGCAAAGTAAAACCCATAAGTTCCTCTGTAATTACAAATGCCAGTTGAAATGCAACATAAACAGCTGTGTGTGTATCTTTATTTTTTTTGTCAGGTTTACCATGTCTCCAGGAATACATGGTTTCGGATGGAGACCAGAGTGGTGAAGAATGTCTGTGCGCCAGCTGTCACAATTGGAGACCAGATTATCATCATAGGTGGTAAGAGCTCTGTTTCACCTTCCTTCTGCCTCCCCCTGCCCAGATCTTGTGGGTTTTCACAGCCTTCCTGGGGGTTTTGAAGGGGTGCTCCCTCAAAAAGCACCTGGAGCTTGGGAAAGAAAGGAAGAGCATGCCCACACTCCATCCACTTCTCTTACGGGGTCTTATGGCAATGGAAGCAGAGATAGGTTCTCCATGAGGCCCCTTCTTACTCCAAGTAGCAGGACCCAGGTGGGGGAAACTGAGGAAAAGCCAATGCAAGTTACTGGTCTGCAGAACGAAGGATGCCAAGAGCATGGGGATCCTGCTCCACCCCTGCTGACTCACAGCCTGGTCCTCCCTGTCTGCTCTTCTTGGGAGAACAGGGAATGCAGTTTCCACAATTGTTGGGATGGATGGGCTATAGGTCTGTGAGGTGTTGGTTGGTCCTGTAGCTGCCTCCTGGGGGTAGTTGTGAAAGGGTGTGAAACACTTGGAAAGAAGAAACTTCTCAGTGTCTTTTTCAACCTGAGGACCAGCCTCTGCCCACTGGCACTTTGGTGTGTTACATCATTGGTAGTTTCACTCTCTACAGTCCTTAATGCAGCTCCCCTGATCACGGACTGGCAAGAAGAAGCATGTGTTAGATTATTTAAGAGAAAATGAGACACACAGTAGCTTTGACAAAGCAGTGGACTGAACGCAAATCACACAGGACTCAAACGTGGTGTCACCCCTCACGGGGAGGCCACTGCTACCCTTTGCAGTAAGAACAGAGGGGAGCTGAGTCCAGAGGTCCAAGACTATCCTGTGTGGCAGATTATCCTTACCTCAGACCACACTCTTGTGGGCAAGGTACTGCTGGGTACCAAGCTGCCACATCTTCATCTCCAGGTCAATGGCCCTTTTACCAACCCTTACCTCTCAGCCGATGTGAGATTCCCTCAGTGGAAGAGCTGTACACTGGGTCACTGGCATGGTGGCTGGCAGAGATATGGCACTGTGAACTTTGGGAGTGGAGCAAACACCAGTGGCACTGTGCTGTTGAGTACCCAGCTCCTTTCAGTAGACAGCCACACTCCAAGCAAGGCACTATTGTCCCTTTATCATGTGCCATTTAGGTTTCTCTATTACCAAGTGAAGCTCTAGGAGTCTGTTGAGTGAAAAGAAGTATTTTGGGATGTTTGAAGGCACATGCAGGTAACTACAAGCTCCAACTGTGTTGGACAGGTTGGCTGCCTGATCTGATGGGTCTTATGGTGCTCATCGAGCCTTGGCTGCCACAGTGCTACAAGACAGGGTGAGGACAAACAGGAAGGGAAGATAGATAGGCATTCCTATGACACATCATCACTTCCTAGCTTAGAGATCTTAATTCTGACAAATTATGTACCAGTATAATAGGTTTTATGGAAGACTATCAGGAAATATCATTCCTTCTGTGGCCATAAGCTCTAATTCCCATCTGTCTTTTCCACCTCTGGCTCTACATTCAGGGTACACCAGGAGAATCATTGCTTATGATACACAAGGCAACAAGTTTGTTAAATGTGCAGACATGAAGGACAGACGCATGCATCATGGGGCCACTGTCATCAGGAACAAGCTGTATGTCACAGGAGGACGATGCCTCACCACAGACAATGTCATCAAGGACCTGGATTCCTTGGACTGCTATGATCCAGAGACTGACACATGGACACCAAAGGGAAAACTGCCACACAAACTCTTTGATCATGGATGCCTTACACTCCAGTGTGTCCCCTGTTCTAACCTTCTCTAAACAATCTTTGGTACTTCCTCGATATTTTGTGCTTTCCTTCCCAGAAAGGACCTGCCTCGGTCTGCAGAGAGCACATGGGGAATCCTTATGGGGTCACACAAACTCTTGACTTTGAAGGCACAAGCAGCGCTAGTCCTTCCGAGACCCTGTGCCAGAAGGGTCATAAGCTCTGTGCTCGTGCCTGTTCACCTGACTGGTACTGCTTGTGGTGCTGCTGAGTCCAATCTGGAGGCCTTACCCAGCGTTTCAATAGAAAACATGAAAAAGATATGGGGTAAGAACGTGGTGCAGGATTTGGCCTTGTACAGATTGTAAAAGGAAAAGTGAAGAGGGATGCTGGTATCTCCAGAGAAAGTAAGATCTGGATAACCTGCCTTTGTTGGCATGCAAACTCAGCTGCCTCAGCAGCCCTTTGCTGCTCGGTGCTGAGCAAGCTTTCTGTTTCCAGTGATGGGAGCATTTAGAATAGGAAGCCCTGAGCTCCAGTCTTGTAGCCAGCCCAGCAGCAACTGCCTGTGTTACCTATGGTAGTCATCTCATAAGAAATAAAATTTTAATGTTCCTAACAGCAAATTAGAAATAAGCAAAAGACTGATGCTTTGATCTGAACTCTCATATTGCAACAAAACGCAGATTTGACTTTTCTGAGCTAACACTCTTTCACAGTGAAGGGAAGATTTTTGTTCCCCCTGCCTGCCCTCTGAAGGAACAGGGGAAGATGGGATGGAAATTGTCTGCATCTTCTTTTTCAAGGGATCTTGTTTTGCAGGTATCTTCTCCTATTGCATCAGTAATAGCAGTGGGGTTAGTTATGAAGACTTTGGCTGCTGGAATTCCTGAAATCTGGAATAGCAGAGAGGACATATGGAGGAAAGGAGATATAAAAGAGAAGAGGTATTTGGGAGGAACAGTTTCTTTTTCCCTTTCTCCTCTCTCCAAACCACTGGGAAAAAAACCATGAGACCAAGCCAGTGACAGGAAGCCAGCTTTCCAAGAAGAGCAAGTCTAAATCTGCCACTTGGCAAAGCAGCTCTGGCTCCACCAATATTTTTGTGGGGTTCTGCCACTAAGTGCATACTTTTAGAGGGAGGGGATTAATCATCAGATACTGAACAGGCTGTGAACTGCTGTTAGGTCACCAGGCTTGGTAAGATTGCTGAGATAGCAAGGAGCTTTAAAGATAGCACTAATGTCCACCATCCAGAGAAATGATGGCAGAAAGAACACCCCTTTTTGAAAGAAAGTGGACTTTTCTAAGGGTACAGGGTGGCATGAGGAAACCACGCTCAAGCTCCCTCTTCACAGGATGCTGCACAGCCATGTGGTCACCACCAAACTGCAGTAAACCAACTCCAGATCCTGAGATCCCCTCTCATAAATCTGTGTCTGGGAGCAGAAGGGTGACTGAAATAGTTAATGAAGTGGAGGGCTGGAAGAAAGTATTTGGTATTAACTGCTCTTGTAACAATGTGGAATAAAAGGGTTATTATTGTTTGTACAAGCTTTGTGTTCAGGAGTCCCCATTGTTCCCTCTGAATTGTTGATAAAGGGAATTGTTTTTGTACCAGTGGGTATTGCCAGGGTTTCCTTCTAAGGATCGGAGTAAACCTGCAAAAAATGAGTGGGAACTCAAACCCATCTCCCAGCTCAGAAGCCTTTGGCTACATTTCTCTTCTGTCTTTCAGTCTATATCATCATCTCCTCCCTGTGCAAAGCAGAGCTAAATCACGGCACTTGCCAAGTCGGACTGTAGCAGTGATTCATCCTGCTTCCTCACAGACCATCTCCAGCTCTCCGGAGAAAGAAGCCTTGTCATGGCCAATTATGGAATGTCTGCCCCAGGGAGATGTTTATTGCTAACCCTGCAGTGCTGCCTTCCCAAACTCCTTCCTGTTGCAACCCCACTCAGCTCCAAACTCTGGGAGACGCCAGTTGCTGCCATGCATTTTAGCTGACATGGATTCCTGCCAGGCTCGTGACTGTACCCAAAACCAAGGGGATAAAAAAGTTGACTCGGGGCCATAACCCCATGTTTGCAAACCATTGCCACAGTCGTTGGTTTATGCTTAGAAGCAAACAGATTTTTTTTTAATTCCCGTATCATATAACTAGTGATTTTCTCCATGTTCTTGTGGGCACCAAATAGTACCTTGCACAGCTGTAGCTGGGCAGGAAATGGGGAGTGCAAAGAAGAGGCAGGGTTGCAGCAGCATTCCCCTCAGTATGTTTCCTCCATCCCTTAGGGAGCCCTCACATCACCCCCAAGTCCTTGGAGACACCAAGGACTATTGCCAGCTCTGCTCTGGCTGCAGCCCTGTGCTCCTTCTCTTCACAAACTCCTCACCTCGTGCTCATAATTCAAGGAATTTGGAGTCACTTGGAACTAAATTCAAACACTGGTGGTTTATGATAGACTTCTGTCTTGTGGTCAGTTTTGATGCAAACTCTGACCAAAGATTTTGGTGCCCTTCACAGAAAAAGGGTTCAAATCAGAGGACAGGGTTGAGCCTTTTCAAGGCAGAGGAGGGATGGTGGAGTCACTTGGTCACAGAGAGGCAGCAGGACATGCAGCTACAGGACAGGAGACACTCAGCAGTGGGACAGGCACTATGGGAAGAAGGGATGTTGCCTTCCTAATTAGGTGCTGACCACACCTGGCCCACCTAGAGCAGCACCTAATACCATCCTGACTGCTTTGCAGTTGTTGTATCCCAGTGGTGCTATGGGGAAAAGCACTCCTACCAAAGGTACTTCTTTCTCCAGTGTCAGGAGAGGACTTTTCCGAGCAGAACCTGCAAGGCCGCCACTATGTGATACACTTTCTGAGTCATTACATGCTTTTTCAGAGGTCTCATCATCCTAATATTCAAACACTTGAGTGCTTGCTTAGATGGGAATCCCCTATGAGAGCAGCAAGGCACTTCACAAATAAAATGATGGCCCAGTGAAAAGGTGTGAATTTGTTGCTCTTCCTTTAGTAGTCATGAAAGCCAAGGAAAAGAGGCTTTTAAAAAAGAGTTGTTGATTGGAGGTCAGCCTTCAGAAGGGTTGATCACCTGCCACGTTTTTTCAAATCAGGGAGTGCTCGAAAAGCTCATCATCTCTAAGCTCTCATTTTCAAGTGTCTGGACTCAGTCACCAGATTGTGGAAACCATAGGATCACATGGCTGAAAGCAGCCTGTTCCATGGGACAGTGAGTTACCCAGTCTGTCATGGCAGGTACTTGTCCAGTATGACAGAAAAACTCCCATGAGAGAGGCTCTGATCCCTCCCCAAGTAATGTACTTGAGTGCATTACTAACCTCAGAGCTTTCAATACTATCTATACTAACTCTTCTTTGCTGTACCTTCTGCCATCCCCACAGACATTAAGGGCAATCGATTACCCTTTTAGATACCGTGTATTTTTTTACATCTTTAAAGTTTATTACGATGTTTCAAATTCTCTAGACTAAACAAACCCAGCCCTTTCAATCTTTCCTCATAAGTCATGTTTTCTAGACCTCTGATCATTTTTGTTGCTCTCCTCTGGACAATTTCCAGTTTGTCTGTTGGTGGTTTTTTATTTATTTAAGCTCAGGGCCGTGGCTCAGCCTCACAGTGCTGAGAAGGGCAATAAACCTGGTCTGCATCTTACCTACAGCATTCCCGGCCTTGCAGAGCAGAAGGGCTTTTGCTTTTCACAGCAGCAGCAGATCACTGACTGGGGTTCGGCTGTGCTCACCATTAAGGAATGCTTGCAAGTTTGGGCAAGGTCACATGGAAAGACTGCAGGACATCCAGGATCTCCCAGGGTTATTCCATAGCTCTCCATCTTTGCTTTGGCTCATCAGGATCCCAAGACAGATCCCATTGAAAACAATAAGTTTATCCATAAACTTCAACACAGAGCTTTGGACTGGGCCCTAATTATTGCGTTCTCAGCTGGGTTCATCACTAATTCTATTAATTTTAAAAAGAAATATTTAATGTTTGAGGTTTTCTTTTTTTTATATACTAGGAGAAAAGTTTCAGGCAAAAAAAATAAAAAAGGAAGAGGAAAGATTGTGTTTTCTTTTCCACTTTCTTCCACTTGCCTTGCTGCAAACCCAGAGCTGAGTCCTGCTGCACAGGCAGCCTGTGGCGGGCAGGCAGCTTTGCTTTGATCTCAGCAACGATCTTCGTAGGTTAAGCCTGTGTTTCTTCATAGTAACCATTTATCAAACAACACAGTCCTTTCCAAGGGCAGCCTTTTTCTTGCTCAGTAATATGTTTATAATTATAATGCATTTCCTGCTTCTTTTTGATTAAACACACCTGACAAAGTAGGAAAGATGTCAATGCATAAATAAATGGGCACACCGAGTTCATTGCTTAGTCCTTTTTTTCCAAAAGCCAAGGAGTTCATTGCGAGGTGAATCCTCCAGTTGAGAAGGAAACAATTGGGGAGAGCATATATGAATAGCATACAGGGTAATTTATCCCTGGCATTGTTCCTTAGCCTGACCTGAGAGCCATTAATAATTGACAGCAGCAAAAACAATCCCTTTTTAAAAATATAAACATCCATACTTTTTTTTCCAGTTGCTTGAAAGCTCCCCTGCAGAAGTTAAACAGTCATATTCTCCATGGCACAGTGAGCATGAATTCCTCAGTGCAAGGTTGCACCAGCAAAGGAGCTGAGACCTGCTAATTAGTGAACTGCTAATAATGTTTTCAGCAGCTAAACCTGATGAGTTTCCCCTGGGGTCCAAACGAAGCAGAGTTCCTATGGAGGAACTGGTGCCTTAGTCTGCCGGTGCCACTGAAGTCCGCAGGGCTCCTCAGGGTTTGTGTTGGAGCCCTGGGAGATTGATCTGGCCTCTTCTGTTTATTGAAGTTTCCAAAATAGTAGCAGAGTAGCGAGGAGCCCAACTGCTCTGTCACTCGGCAAGTCACCCACCGGTTCCAGCTGCCTCCTGTCACTTCTCTCCCCAGGGCTCTTTGTTTGCCTGCACTTCTTTCATGTTGCAAGAACCCTTTCCGAGAAAAGCAAGCAGCAGCACATCCCGAGCAGCCCCGGGCCATCAGGCGGGTCTCGTGGCTGCTTTAAACACCAGGCATCCTCACAGCTGTTGGAGACATTTGGCTCTAGGCTTGGGGTAGAGCTATGAGTAAAATACTGTTAAAGGTGGGAAAAAGGGACAGAATCTGGTCCACTTCTTCATCTGGTCAGGAAGATGTTTGTAAACCA